TCGAACACCTTTAGGAAAATCTCATGTTTTGGTTTACTATTTATTTTTATTGTTATTAGATATAGTTTAAATGTGTTGATGTTGGTTAAATATATTTTAAATTGTTATAAAATTCTGTATTTCTCATAGCAAACATTATTTTCGTTTTAATTGATGGTCACAGCTAGAACTTTTTTTGCATTACAGTCGGTGCCGTTCAAAGCCTACTTATTTAAAGGGGGCGAATTTTTATATACTCTATATCTCGAAGGGGAATCGAGCAAAATATCAAGTGTGTTATATTTTTAGAAAGGTAATTTTAAATTCTTTTCAATAAATTAAAATATACAGGGTGTCCCATATAAAAAATCAAATTTTCTGTTGATAATTCTTAAATTATTAATTTTAAAAAAATTATTGAGCTCCAGACACCGATATTAGTTTTTGTCTATCTCCTATAGAAAAGGATGTTTCCATTTAAAAGCGTCGAATTTGACCCACCCTGTACAGTCGTTAATAAACACCGCCAGGAATAGAGAAGCGATGGGAAATGTTGTCGCAAACATCCATTAATGGATTCGCACTAGAAGAAGAAGAAGATGACCCAAATAACTCATTTTGAGTAAAATTAAAAAAACTTTTTTTTGCCGATCTTAATAGCCTACCATACCTATTGGTATGGTCGGTTAAAAATCATCAACGATTGTCTTTGACGTCGGTTTTTTTTCGATCATACTATATTATTAATTACTGTAATATTATGTAAGCAAAAACCATGTAAATTAAAAAAAAATATATTTATTTAAATTTACATACATCTTCGTATTATTATTGAGTTATATCATCTGTAAATATTACCAAGCCATCATACGTAAGCATATATAGGCATATTAATAGCTAATTTAAAGGTTAAAATACAACAAAAAGTTGTAAAATATTCATAAAGTGTGTTTTAATTACTTTTATAAGGTTTTTATGAAAAAAAAAACAGTTTTTTTCAAACGTCACAAATGTATTAATTTTTGCGACTTGATTGACAATATAAAAAAGTCATTTTAACGCCTAATAACCATAAAAGTAAAGCACTTTTACGCCTAAGCATAAAAGTACGAAAATATATTATTAAACTGACATAAAGTGTCAAATTTAACGAGTGTAACCATAGTTTCTCCATATACAGGTTGGTCCGAACTGTATTCCGGAAACTCGGCAGCATATTCTGCAGATAAAAATAAGTAAAAAAAATGTACGTCCTCAAATGCTTAGTTTCGAAGATACAGGGTGTAGAAGGTTTATTTTTATTTCGATTTTTTCCAAATAATTTCTGAATATTTGGATCAAAATTGGAGTTTTTTGATATGAGAAATTTGACTTTGATGTCAAAATGACACCTACTAGTAGAGAGCGCCACCTACATGTGTTTTAACTGTTTTGAAGCGTAATAACTTTTTGTCCGTACCTGTATAAAACTCCTGAGGAAAAAAAATCTTATACATCTCTGTAACTTTTTACGTCAAAAATATCTTTTCGTAAAAATCGCTACGAGCAACCGTTCTCAAAATTTATTTTTTACTATTTTCTGATTTTTATAATAGGTCTAATAGGTATATGCATGTATAGAAGGAACTAAAATTGAGACAACTCTTTAAAGAAAAAAATCTAGCTAATATAAATATCTCTTTTACAAACTTTACTTGAAGAAAAGAAATCCATAATATGGGAAAATAACCAAATGAAATCCTATTGGAAAACTACTATACACGTCAAAAACCCTGAGAGTGTATCTATATACAGGGTGTCCCAATACACCGACCAAAATGAAGTCCACTGGGTATTTTTGGGGTGGAAAAAACAGAGACGCGGACTAGGAAATCGTCACATAACCTCAAGGCCTGCAAGAAATCGATATACATTTCTCTATACTCGAGGAATGTCACTGTAGCTGATATAAAAAGCTGATCGCCTTCACTTGAGTGGCTGAGGCGACGTGCAAGAAGTGTTTTTCTTGTCGTTTTGCACGACCACGCCTTACTGCAAGAATTTCTGTATCAATTCGATCGTGATTTGCAGGTGTAATAAACAATATATACAGAGTGTTTTATGCCCAAAAGAACATAATAATATACTTTCCTTACTTAAGTACTATACATCAGGTTGTACCAATATTATGTGGACGTAGACCAGACTACTAAGTAAAAGAGTGTATTTGAAAAATATAATCAGCTCACTGCCTTTATCTGAAGAGTGTAGATCTTCAAATTTGGTAGATTTAAACTGAAATACTTTAGTATTTTAAGAACCTATCTGAAATTTTCTTCAAAGTACCTAGGAGGGTAGTTCTAGGGGTGAATATGAGTGATATGAGTTGAAGAAGCACATCTGATATTTTCTGAAAAGCGTACATCTCTAAATTTTGTATATCAGAAGTAACTTAACTTAACTAGGGTGTCCCAGGTTCAGTGGCGTAGCTAGGTAACCAAGGACCCTGGGGCAAATTAAAAGATGGGGCCCCACTGCTATGTAAACTGATTAGGTTTTATCAAATAAAAATATGAAATATACAAATATGGGGCCCGGGCCCCCCCTAAAAGTGTAAAATATTAGGCTTTTGCGTTAAAAATGGCGCCCTAAAAATCATATTCTACATTGTTTTTCATTTTGGCCCCCCCCCTCTAAAATAAATTCCTGTATCCGCCCCTGGCCCAGGTTAAGAGTGCATTAGAAGTTTTTACAGAACTACAATAGCTAGATCGGAGATTTTTTGCCACATCATTGTTTCTCAACGAGATCTATCGATTAAAAATGTTTTCAATATGGCGGCACTTCCGGAAATACCGCAAGTTGACAGCAACTTCCTTATTTTAAATGGGTACCTTCATTTTTTATCACATACTTAAATTCTCTGTAAAATTTTATGAATTTTGAACACAAATTTCTATACCTAACATTAATCGTTTTTGAGAAAAGAAATATTTTTAATTTTTGGAGGAAAAAACTGCCTGTCAAAAAAATTTGTATAGCCTAAACGTCAAATTTAGTGATTACCACAGCCACTGCGTTAAAGTGTTCGAATGTCTATAATATTTAAAAACCTAACCGTTTTTATTTCACTATAGTGAAAAGGTTTTTTTTTTCGTTACTTTTTGATTGCACATGTTCCTGTACCTAAAATAAATCGTTTTAAGTTATTTAAGATTTAGTTTTAGAGCGTATATTTTCCTGGTTTGTTCCGATCTAGATATTGTAGTTCTCTAGAAGCTTCTAATGTACGTTCAGCCTGGGACACCCTGTATTATGTATTCTAAAAACTCCAGATCTTAAATTTACTTGCATAACCTTTAGTTTAGAGTAATTTTATAGAGATAGAATATAGAATAGTAGTAGGTTATTTTCTAGTGATAAAAATATCCAGGAAAAATATATTTTCTGACGATTAACAAAATCTAAAGCTTTTTTTCAAGCATATATGTGAAAATTCGTGGTTATATTGAATATATCCAATAGAAAGTTCATTCTATAGTACTTTTATAATGTCAAACCACGCTATTCGTGAAAATCGCACAGTAGGGCACCAAATGTAGTCCAAAAAACTGTCGGTACTGCCAGTACTCTATAAGGAAAAGTCACGTTACATAAGGAAAACTATTACAGGGTATAATAGCTAATAAAGTTTGAAAGGCGTGTACACATATACGTTTTAAGGTTCTTGCGTATTACATATATGAGTGGTGATATTGAATTGTAATGAGGTACTACACAGGGTGTCCCAAAAAGAAGTCTCATACAGTAATGATCGAGAAAGTTTTTTTTGGATTTTTTTAACAATCATTTGTTATCAATTATTTGTTAGTGTACTAGTGTATTATAGTATATAGTAGTATACTAGTATAGTTACTAAGAGTTACTTTTCGGTAAATCCACCATTTTTATTTTTTCAGAAAAAAAATCGAGATTTGGTATGTTAGTATATGACATAAATTAGGATTGATTGACGTATTCAATTGTTTTCGGTCACTTCCTGTTTCACCGGAAATGACTACAACTTTTAAATACCATCGGTATTTTGTTACATTATTCATAAATGACACTCCGATTAGAATGACATATCATATGTCAACTTTTGGCATTTTCGAATATGGTTTATTGGAAATTGCAACGTCCGATTCATAACGACAATTTGACTCGAAATATCAAGTTTGTGGTACCAAATTATTCGTAAAAAATGCCTTTTCCGAATATTCTAATGAGCCACCCTCGCTTCATTTGAAAAAATTGAGATATGATTAAAAATACGATTTGGGCATCTATTAACCGGCCAGGATAAGACACTAAAAACATTAGACGATCAAATATCTATTTTTCCAAAGCTCCTTGAATTAAAATTATTGTTTTTAACACAGCCATGGCACTCTAGATTGAAATTTAAAATACAATTTTGTTTAAAGCGAAAATGTCAAAACTTGACATATTATGATACCTACATGATTCTATTCAGAGTGTCATTTTCTATCAAATAAAGTAAAAAAATTCCGAGGGTGCCGTTTAAAAATCAAAAGTTGTAGTCATTTCCGGTGAAACAGGAAGTGGCCGAAAAGAATTGAATACGTCAATCAATCCTAATTTATGTCATATACTAATATATCAAATCTCGTTTTTTATCTGAAAAAATAAAAAAGTAACAAAGTAAGTACTTTTGAGACGCACCCGGTATACCCTTTTGAGGGCTGTAACTTCTTCAGGAAGCATCTTAGAGTATAATATGTTCTTAGGGAACTGTTTGATTTATTTTTATCTGGAGTATCACCCATTGAACTTTGGTACACTATCTCTTTTACATCCTGTATATGTATAGAGATGTTATCGATCGATATAGATCGAAATCTCAAAAGAAACACAGTAAGATAATTATATAATTATTGTCAAATACTGATATTTATTGAACTGAGTGGCACCATATTATACATTTCACTTTACATATCGCTATTTAGAGCCATTTCTAAGCAACAGCTGTTCAAACTCACCTGTTTCATTCAAATCGAACACTTCAGAACATATTCCACTCAATCTACTCTACTCCTCTATGCTCTACGGTGCTCCTATCTCCTCCTGAGCTACGTAGATCGTGTACCAGTACGCTAGAACGGTCAGTACTATCGCTATAATCACGAACTTGACGTAAACTAGTACTAGGTCTTTTAGTACCCTCGCGAACGTTTTGAAACAGGTATAGTTTTACTGGGTGCACTGAAACAGGTGATACAGCGTATAGGCCTAGTACTGCCACGCGAAGCAGTACCACTAGGTCCTGGGGGAGGTAGTTTTGGATGCAGTAGTAGGCGCCTATGATTAGACGACGGTATGGCATCGGATTTGATGGGGAGTACTGCTATACGCGGATGGCGCGAGGCTCGAAGGATTTCTGCGGAACCGTGGTGGGTACTGGTAGAGTAAGGTGGTCGGGGTACGACCAAGTGGTGGAAGGAACAGGACCGGATTCGACAGGAATTTTTAGTACTTAAAACCCTCTTTACACATAATGTAACACCAACTATTGAAAGAAAAATATACAGAACTTTATACAAATACAAACATATATTAACAGACTTAACAACGAACAGAAAATACACAAACAGGGTATACCTTTTAGACCTATAGTCAGTAGTATAAATTCTCCATGCCATCCGTTAGCAAAATTTTTACTAGACATATTAAATCCGATTGCAAATAACACAGATTCATATACATTAAAAACACACCACATTTTATAGAAAAAATCTCAAAAATTAATATAACACCTAACAGTTTAATGGTTAGTTTTGACGTTGTTAGTCTTTTCACTAATGTGCCGGTAGATAAATCACTTAAAATAGTTAGGAATATATTAGAACAAGATACACATTTAATAGATAGAACAAAATATAAAATAGATAGTATTTTGGAATTGTTGACACTTTGTGTTAAAACTACTTATTTCCAATTAAATAATGAATTTTTTCAACAAGATTTCGGTATGGCAATGGGATCACCTCTCACTCCTTTGTTAAGTAATATTTTTATGGAAGATTTTGAAAATAATACAATAAATAGTTTTTCAAAAAAGCCTGTAATATGGCTGCGTTATGTTGATGATATTTTTGCAATATGGCAACATAACGTTTCTGAAATAGACATTTTTTTGGATTATATAAATTCTCTCGCGAACCTACCATAAAATTTACTTTAGAAGTAGAGAGAGGTAATCGTTTGCCATTTCTTGATGTTTTAGTGTCAAAGTTTCAAAATAAACTAATTTTAGATGTTTACAGAAAACCCACAAACACAGATAGATAGGGGAGAATGCCCAACAGTGAGACACATTTTTTTAAGACCGTAAAAAATATTTTATTTTTTCATCAAAATAAACTATTTTAGTATACTTTAAAGACAACCACTCTCTCCTAAACATGTTGAATTAACTACTCTCATTGAGACAAAAACATGTCTTAAAATTAACAATATTGTTATTATTGCATTTGTCTCATTGTTGGGCCCTAAGGTCTAACAGTAAGACAGAGGAAGTTTTAAACAAATAACTATTTATTAATTACTTAAAAATAGTTAAGAGTATTTATTTGCGTTTGGCATAAAACAAAGTAGAGCTGTCTTAACAAAGAACTTGAAATATAAAAATAAACACAAGTGCTAAAAATATAATTAACTTAATCAACTAACGAAATAATAAAAAATCGGTAAAAAACTTTTAAGTTAAACGGTTTTATCTTATGTGCACTGAAAACTAGAAAATAATAATAACAATTAGGTATTTTGAACTTCTAGTTCAGAAATATTTTAGTACTAGGCAGAATAGCTTTTAGGCATATTAGACAAAAATAAAAATGTGGGGCCCATTAACTATTGCTGTAATACTTTCTTCTATACTAAGTGTGGATTGCATCGACTTACTATAATCGTAACTGGAGATTTTGATAATCAATAACCAGCCGTGGCGGCTTCACCAGCGAACGCCGAGCTCATGATCTACCAAAGTATAAAGATATGCTTTGCCATAGGTAGGATTTCAGAGGGGCCCCACGTTTTTATTTTAGTCTAATATGCCTAAAAGCTATTCTGCCTAGTACTAAAATATTTCTGAACTAGAAGTTCAAAATACCTAATTGTTATTAATATTTTCTAGTTTTCAGTGCACATAAGATAAAACCGTTTAACTTAAAAGTTTTTTTACCGATTTTTTTTGGAAAGATGAATCCGCCACATAGGTATAGATATTTTTTATAATGTACAGGTTCTGGCAATAGTGCATCTGTAGCTCTTAAAATAAAAAAAAACTTAGGAATTTTGTTTAAGTGCAAACCTAAAGTATGTACTAGGATGAGTATTTCAGGAAAATAATTTAATTTCTACAGGGTGGCTCAAAAAGTGAGTGGATCGGGATAATTTTTTTTTAAATGGAACACCCTGTATATTTTTGCATTTTTCGCTTCCTTTCTGATCACTTTACAGAATTCTAAGATATTATTAAACATGTTTTGATAGTTTCAGAGATATTAATTAATAAATATATATTTTTTTCAGTCTTTTTTAAAAAAGTTATTAAAAATACAAGAAATGTCCTGAAATCTAAACTATACTAGGTGTTTCCTACAGTTGGTCTCTATTTACTTTGCAATAAATATCATAATCAATTACATCATACAGGGTGTTTAAAATTCTATGCCAAACATTCTAAAATATAAAATAATTTTTCTTGTTTTTTTTAAATAGAACACCCTGTATATTATTTTTTTTTGTTGGATGGAGAATTAAAAAATGAACATTTTTTGTATTTAAAGTATTTTAAAATTTTTAGCCGTTTCGCAAATTTTTGGTTTTTATATCATTGGGTGGTTTTGATAAAAAAATTCTGTTAAAAACCCCTTAAAAAAATTTGAAATACTTTAAATACAAAAATTATTCATTTTTTAATTCGCCATCTAACAAAGAAATAATATAGAGGGTGTTCCATTTAAAAACGAAGAAAAGCTATTTTATATTTTAGAATGTTTGGCATAGAATTTTGAATACCCTGTATGGTTTAAGATTACGATATTTATAGGAAAGTTAGTACGGATCAACTATAGTAAACCTAGTATAGTTTTGATTTCAGGACATTTCCTGTATTTTTAATAATATTTTTAAAAAGGCCGAAAGAACTTTTTTTATTTATTTATTAATATTTCTGAAACTACCAAAATATATTTACTCATATCTTAGGATTATGTAAAATGATGGAAGAAAGGAAGCCAAAAATACAACAAACAAAATTCCTGAGTTTTTTTATTATTGCCGGACCCTGTATAATATGACGCACTATTGCCGGACCCTGTATAATATGTAATATAATACAGCGAATATCTGCTATTATTATCAACTTTAAAAATTTAGAAACACTTTAAATATAAAAAATGTTCATTTTTTAATTCCCCATCTTAAAAAAATAATAATATACAGGGTATAAAAAGTTTATCATTTTTAATGTTGCGGTGTTGCGTTGGCGACGCCATAAAAAATGCCCTGTATAAGATAATGTAAATTTTGAACCACAATGCGTCAATAATACCTGGTAGTAAGTACCTTGTTTTTGAATCTTTGGATAATACTAGTAGTCAGGAAAGGACAGTACCAAAAAAAGATATTAGTAAATAAAATCTAGAACGGCAACACCGCATAGTGCTTCAAATAAAAATAGTGTACTACATGCAGAATTTTATGCTGAATCCAATTCTTCAGAGAAAAATGGAGGCTTCAAATAAATTTTTAAGGTATTTTAATGAGAAAAAAAGACACAAAATAGTTTTGGCATTAAAGTACACCCTATATATTCCATTAATTTGAAAACAATACCTATTGTAATTCAAAAAGTTGAAATATTCCTGAACTATGACATTAAATCTACGTGAATATCCTTATTATCATATTAAATTATTTAATTTAATCATATTTAAATTAAAGTACAATCCACGTCATAAATATTCCATAATAAAAAAAATAACCTAGTTCTTAAAAAAATATTCGAATACGCCCCTGCCTTTAATAAGAACATTCTAATAGTACCCGCCTTAATTTTAAAGAAGCGGCAACGGCGTTATCGCAATAATCCTGCGGCACAAACCTGTCTAATGCGTTTGCCGCTCTCTATATTCTGTGAAACGAACTAGTCACCTGCTATCGACTTTCTACTACAAGAACCACCACAGTACCCGCGTATGTTAAGCCTGTGTTGGTGGTACCAATAAAAAAATGGTTTTAATTAAGTAATAAAAGGAATTCAATAAATTTTAATAAAACATTTTTTTATATTATAATTCATAATGAATTTACCCAGAAACAGTACTTCCCTTACAGCAAAAATATCTTTAAATAGTTGTATAATAACGATACCTAAAATTTGGGGAAATTTAACAAAGTCCGGCAACACTGCCCGATCGCTACACCGTTGCCAGTCTTCGTTATTTTCCCCCAAAACCGCCGTGTTCGATATTTTCAATATTTTCGTTCTTTTTTTCATTCTCAGGTATTCTAGTACGTCACTGGTACCACTGATTTTGAGTAATAGCAAAGGAATTCAGTAAAACACACTTTTCTTCAAATATTTTAATATACATAATAATCCATAATAAATTTACGCAGAAACAGTACTTTTCTTACAGCAAAAATATCTTTAAATAGTTATATAATAACGATACCTAAAATTTCGGGAAATCTAACCAAGTCCGGCAACAACGTTCGATGTGTGCAGTGTTGCCAGGCTTCGTTATTCTTCCCCAAAACGCAAAGGACAGCGTAGTTATTATCGTGCGATCTAGTCTATGAGTTAAGGCACTCTGAAACATCCTCAAATAGTATACAGTGGCGTACGTAAATTTCCAAAATATTATTATATACAATATTATTTTTTTATTTAAGAAAAAATACAACCACTTTTTTCGATATTTTTATTTTCGTTTTTTTCGTTCTCAGGTACGATCAGTACGCCACTGGTACCACTGATTTTGAGCAATAGCAACGAAAAAATTAGTAATTAACTACATCATCACAATCTTCGTATTTAAATCTATAATAAAAACGCACTGAACAAAAAAAGACTAAGAAAAGGACGTCATAGTAGCCAGTTTAAGACACACCTTTGTTGATAAACTCCTTTCCTAGACTTTTTGTTCGTTCAAATAACTTTTAAAATTGTGTTATATAGCTCTAATATATTATATTTATCTTAACTAAGTACTTAAAACCTAAAAAAGTCAACTTTTAAGTACAAATTTTTGTTCATACAATAATATATCAATTGTTTAATTTCTAACTACTTTTTTTGGCACGGATCATGCAATAATACGATTCGAGAAAAATATAAGCGGCAACATTGCAATTATTTAATTTATTCAGAAAAAGGTGTAACGCTAGAAAGAATGCTCTTCTAATTCAAAGGTAGGATTTTCCTAAGTAGTAGGAAAAAATCACAAAGTGGCAACGTTGAACAATTTTATTACCACCCCTAAAGTCTGATAAACATTTACTATAATCTAAAAAAAAATATGATATATTTAACAAATTTTAAATGTTGACTAAATAAAAATATCGTTATGGTAGGCAAAGAAATAACATTTTTGGAGTAAAATGGTATTTTTACACCTAATGTAATGTCATTTTTATTTAAGTTCCACTAAGTTGTAGGAAAAAAATCACAAACTGGCAACGCCGGAAATTTTTGATACTACCCCTAAAGTCTGATGAATATTTATTTTTATCTAAAAAAATCTTTTTAATACATTTTAAATGTTGAACAAATAAAAATCATGTCACAGTAGGCAAAGAAATAACATTTTTGAGTAAAATGGTATTTTTATACCTACTGTAATGTCATTTTTATTTAAGTACCACTAGAAGGCTCTAATTCAATGTTAAGATTTTCCTAAGTAGTAGGAAAAAATCACAAACTAGCAACGCCGGAAATTTTTGATACGTCCCCTAAAGTGTGATAAATATTTATTTTTATCTAAAAAATCTTTCTAACACATTTTAAATGCTGAACAAATAAAAATAAAGTCATAGTAGGCAAAGAAATAACAGTTTTGAGTAAAATGGTATTTTTATACCTACTGTAACGTCATTTTTATTTAAGTACCACTAGAAGGTTCTAATTCAATGTTAAGATTTTCCTAAGTTGTAGGAAAAAACCTAAAAAATCTGATAAATATTTATTTTAATCTAAAAAAAAATTTCTGATATTATTAACAAATTTTAAATGTCGACTTAATAAAAATAGTGTCTTAGTAGGCAAAGAAATAACATTTTTGGGTGAAATGGAATTTATACACCTACTATAATATTATTTTTACTTAATCTTACAGTAATAATTGTATACTCAATTGCAAACTTATTGCTGATAACCCAATAAATTAAAATATTTACATACCATTAAAAATTTACTAAAGTACAAATAATATTTTGAACTATACAGGGTGACCCAGTGTTGCGTAAAAGCTTGATTCAAGTTTCTTAATTCAGGTTAAAACTATTTTCGTACATATACAGGGTGATTACAATGTATTTTTACACTAAAGCTTTAGTTTCCCAAACAGGAAACTTAATATAAATGCTTTTTTAGCAATTTTGGATCACTCTGTATTCATTTTTGTGTCTCATAGTAACTTGTGCTTCAATAACATAATAAAATATAGGCCTAATCACAGTTATCTTATTATCAACCCCCCCCCCCAAAAAAAAAACTACTTTTACTACTAATACTATCAGTTTGATCATTATTAACTTTTGTTCTTTTCAATATTTAATTTATTAATATAAACAAATAAAACAATTTTAACATATTTAATTTTATTTGAAGTGTTTATGTTTTTGATAAAAAAAATTTTGTTGAGTATTAATTTCCTTGATCAATATAGCGAGAAAAAAACGCCGTCACAATGACCATTGTAATTAACTTAATAATAATTTAATTAAAATTAATAATTACCAAATTAGAAGAAAAAAAAGTAAGTAACCAAGTAAAACATATATCACAACTAAAAACAATACTTGAAGATATTGGACGTAATATTATACACCAGATCTGTATGATATATAGGGCGAGACAAATTTAAAATTTCTTCGATGTGCAAGTAAATAAAATGTGCCCCCACGTTATTTTATATATTATTTTAAAACTTTTATCTAAAATATCAATAATTTAACATACTTATCCAATAAATTTTATAATACAGATATAAAAAAATCTGTAAAAACAATAATGCATTGCTTTTGCTACATAACCTAAAATACTTCCAAATCGCAAATTTCTTCAAACATAACCTATGATTTTTTGCATTAAATTATTTTATATAAGTCCTTAGTCAGTCAGTCATTATTTTTTCCCTGTGAGTAGGAAAAAATCTTTACACAAAGAACACGTCATGAATGAAGAACACTCTACACCCCCCCTGTATGATTCTAAATTCTTACTTCATTAATTTGATCATGGTATAGTTTGTTCCAGTCTTTGAACAAAAAGATTCAGGAAGGAGACATCATGAATTTTTGACAGCTCTGTTTGACATTTCAATTGATACATTCAACAAATTCACACATAAGGGTGATGGATATCATATAAAAATTACATATATGATATCATATATAATTTATATATACAAGGTACGGCAATAGTGCGCGGTATAAATTTTGAAATACTTTAAATACAAAAAATGTCATCTTTTAATTACTCCATCTTACAAAGGAATAATATACAGGTTGTTGCATTAAAAAAAAACGAAGAAAAACTATTTTATATTGTAGAAAGTTTAGCATAGAATTTTGAACACCCTGTATGGTCTAAGATTACGATATTTATAGCAAAGTAAATATGAACTATAGTAAATACCTATTATAGTTTTGATTTCAGGATATTTCTTGTATTTTCAATAATTTTTTTAAAAAAGGCCGAAAAAAATATTTTTCTATTTATTAATTTCTCTTAAACTATCAAAACATATTTAATAATATTTTAGAATTACGTAAAGTGATCAGAAAGGAAGCCAAAAACGTAATAATATACAGGGTGTTCCATGTAAAAAAATCCCGATCCAGTCACACTTTTTTGAGCCACCCTGTAGAAGTTAAAATATTTTCCTGAAACACATCTTAGTATATACTTTAGGTCTGTACTTAAACAAAATTCCCAAGTTTTTTATTTTAGGAGCTACAGATGTCCGACGCACTATTGCCGGACCCTGTATATAATTTATATATGATCGTCATATATAAAAATATCAATTATATATGATATAGAGATACTTTGGTGTTTCCTAAATCTTTTTACTGAAATGTACCTATAAATGATGCGGTTCTGTCATCCTCTGGCAACACAACCTATATTTTTGATGGAAAAAATATCATTTAATTCGTTTTTCAAATATACAGGACGGTCCATTTTTCTGAAGGACTGATTCGCCCTGTATAATATTACAAAATCCCTAAAAAAACGGAGTTGTTTAGGGAATTATTGTAGTAATATAGAAAATAATATACTAAAAGCAAAAATCAATAAAACACTCCATAGGAGTATTTATAAAAATAAATACAATCGCAGTGTTATAGGTTTTGTATATACAGGGTGTCTCTGTATAGTAGTAACTTTCTTATTTTAAATATATTTTTTCCCATTTTTTTTCTTGTATATTTAAATTTTCTGTAAAATAAAGTTACTGATACGTGCAATAAATAATTTTGATTTACAGAAAAGACATACAATAACTATCTATTTCAAAAATAAATAATTTTCAAAAAATATTTTTCACTGTAAAAAATTGGTGGTAAAACTCTTACAAGGGACACCCTGTATACCCAGTGTTCGTTTTATAATAAAAACATATATAATATAAACAAAATAATTGAGCACAACATACGATTATAGATGAATATATCTAAGCATGTGAGAAAGTCTCTTTGATCCAAACTTAACTATAGTTGAGATATATACAGGGTGTTAAAATAAAGTAAATATTTTAGAGGACTGTTCCTTATATAATATTATGACGAAAAATTCATATAAACACGCTCGAAAATTTTCTGATAGAGAATGCTAAAATTATAGGAAGCCTTTAAAAATGAAGAAATACTCAAAAATGTATTACCTTACTTATGAAACCCCCCGTATAACTCACTAAGCTACACAGAAATAGCTGATTATAATTTATTTAGTTTAAAATCAAATTGCTAAATAAAAAACTTAATTTTTTTAATTTAATTTCACAGGGTAACTTAAAACTTTGTTATGTACCTTTGTAAAATCGGAAAAACAATTCTTTTGAACTACCCTGTACAAATAGTAATTGTAACTATTCAATATCTTTTTCACGCTCTAATCTATAGATACAGGGTGTCTATTAAATTAGTGCAAGTATTTTAATATCTAGCCCCGTGTTGCCACACGTACAAGAAAGTATACACTTCACTGAAAATACCGCAGGATTGAAAAAAAAGACGGCGTCAAAGACGGCTGGGAAATGACAATCGACGATATTTTTGGCGATGTCAATCTCTAGACGTCGTTTACTAAAAACTGACATAAAACTTTCTTAAGGCAGTACTCGGGCTTGACCTCGCCAAAATTATCATCGATTGTCATTTTCCAGCTGTCTTTGACGCTGTTTTTTTTTCGATCGTGTGGTGCTTAATGTTGAAAAAATAAAAAATTCAAAACACATTTTAACAATTTAAAAAAAAACTTATAGGCGTGTCTCGAGTAGAGGTAGAACTATTATTACTCAATTCTCGCACTTTATTAGGACATCCTGTATATACAGGACAAAATTTCATTAGCTGGATAACTGAAGTATATAATTTTACCATCATACAGACAGTAACAAAAAAATTCTATTCAAAAATTCTTCAAAACATTTTTTTTTCAAAAATCATTTTCCCTAACCTCAGACTTTCTGGGTACAAACCTGAGGGGTTCAATAACCACAAACCCGCCTTCTCCACGTCCTGTTACCAGCCACCACGTTCCTATTGAACCACTGGTGCACGTGGAACACCAGCTTTTCCTGCTGACACTTCCTGTCAACGTCAGCGTCCTTCATGGCGCGGTACAAACCTTTGATACTCGTAGGATCCTGATAATGAACCGTTATCAGGGATTTAAAAACGCAGTAGTCTGTGGGGTACATCCTGTATGTAAACAATCCGTTGTGGGTGAGATTCAACTTGATTTTCGAAGCGCATATGCCTAGAACGATAAGAAAAGCCTATATACAGGGTGATAGAGTTGCAAAAAGACTTCAGTATTAAGTCATTTCTAAAATCAAAATGATTTAAACCTTCTCAATCAATTTCAACATAAAGTTCAAATGATATAAGTCCTAAGTCTTTGACTTAAATCATTTTATTTCAAGTCAAGTCATTTTTGTAAAGACTTAAATCAATAATCAATATAACGTTATTTAAATTAGCGATCTATCGAATGAATTAGACTATCGAATGGTTAATGAATGAATGATTTCAACTATCGAATGGTTTTATTCGAATAAAATCATTCATTCATTTGTATAGTAAAGCATATGTGACAACCTCGCCGTGCGACTAAATGGTTATCGTTGAGCCACGACTATCGAATGCTTTTGATAAATGAAATTTAGTATTCGTTTGATTTTTTGTATGCGTCAGTGCATTATTAGTTCTTCCAAATTTTTATAACTTCACCGTATAAATACTGTGCTATTTTTGCGTTTACTAAAATAGTTAAAATACTAAAATAGTAGTTATTTTTTAATTTTATTTATTGACGATTGTGTGCATGTGCAGGTGGTCAAAATTTTTCCGAAAAGTTGTGTGGTTTTCCGTAGTCCGATCTTTCAATTATTTAATTTTATATGGTATATGGTCTATTTTTTAATGGGAAATTTTGAGAAGTAGCAATTTTTAAGAGAGATGAGATGAACTTAAATTAATTTTAAAAGTACATATTTGTATTTTAGATGTTTTAATAATATGAATTAGTTGAACTTAATAATCATATTAAAGTAATGTGGTTAAGTAAATGGTTATCGAACTCAAACTATGGGGTGAGAAAATTAAAATGAAAGTTTTACACGTGCCAATTTAAAAAAAAAGTTAACGATGTTTGTATTTTGTTTATGCTAATTCTCTTACATGTAGTTTTTGCGAAGAAATATTTCATTTATTTTTTAAAGTAAATGCCAGTAAAAGTAAATATAATTTTTAAATAGTAATATAAAGCACCTAATATAAATAATTTTGATTTCTAATTTTTTATTTATATTTTCCTTCCATTACACTGCATGCTTAGAAAATTAATAAATGTTTATATTTCATGATTTTAAAATTTGTTGTTAATATAACAAATTAGTTCTGTAATTATTATTATTTAATAAACCAACGTTGCCACACACAAACAATTTAGAGACTATATTATTTTTAAATAGGATCTAATATAAATAATTTTGACATCTAATTTGTTGTTTATATTTTGCTACTACTTAAAAAAAATATTTATATTAAATGATTTTAAATTTTGTTGTTAATAGGTATAACAAATTATTACTGTTATTATTATTCATTAAACCAGTCTTTGCTTCTTAAAAACATTAAAAATCATTTTCCTACATCCAAAATAACAAGTATTATTGCAGTGTAACAACAGAATATTAATAAAAAAAAATGCAGAATATATAGACATACTATCCCTAACTAACTAAAGCCAAACAATAATATTCTTTGCTAATATCAACTAATACCAAAATATGGCAACAGCGCCCTTCATAATATATTTTCTGTGTAAATACTAGCACCTCAATAAAAAAAATAATGTGTCCTTATCTATATCTGACTCCGCAAAAAATCAAAGATGCCGGCTTCTTTCATAGCATTGCCACCGACCGCTGTCGGGTTTCTCGGAAAGAAACCTACGTCGCCGGGCGAAAACTAAAATTCAGTTAATATTTTATTATAATCGATCCTGACGAATAAATGAATTTCATAAATGAATGAATTTTATAAATGAACGTTTTTGCTGCCGAATTACTAGAATACAATATTTCAAGGCAGATGACGGATCTATTCGATAATTTTTATTCGAATAGTTTTCAACGAATGTTTTCTTACTAACTATCGAATTATTCGAATGAATTGCAACTATCGAATGTTTCGATAGTGTTCATTCGATAGTTCCTACTACTAAATTTAAATCGTTTTTATGAAATAATCTGAAAAACAATTCTTTTGAACCACCCTGTACAAATAGTAATAGTAATTATTCAATATATTTTACGGTCTAATCTATAGATACAGGGTGTCTATTAAATTAGTGCAAGTGTTTGAATATTTAGTCCCGTGTTGTCACATGTACAAGAATGTATACACTTTACTGAAAATACTGTAGTATAGGAAAAAAAAACGGCGTAAATCGTAAATCATGATGATCTGCAAAATGAAGACTTTAACCCCTTGTAACCACGAAACAAAGCATAATTAGACCTATGTTGATATGAAAAATAAATCTTATTTTTACGTGAAGGATCTCCCCACGAGAGATGGCACGTGTTTCTTGAAATACCCTGTATAAAAATGCATACATTCATACCTGTTAAGTATACATCCTCTAAATGAAAAATTTCAGTATGTAGGGAAGTATTCAGCAGTTTTTCAGGAACATCATTCGACATACAGTAGCTAGTACCAGAGATATAGTTTGGGTAGGATTCACGTGAATACATATAACTAGGACCAGCATACCTAAAAAAATAAATTACACCGGTGCCATCATGCTTTTATTTATGTTGTGTTTTATTTATTCCTCTGCAATATTAAAAAATATTATACAGGGTCGCTTTTATATATGGAAACCTTTGAATAAGAAGACTAAGGAAGGAGCATAATGCTATCCATGTATTCATGCATGGTGGGCGGAAAAGCCACCATAAAAGCTCTCTAGGGTGGGGATCCTTGACAGTTCTGTTTGACGATTCATTTGACACATTTGAATTTGATTTGAAATTTTGTGGATTTGTCAGTCTTTACGGAGCTTATTTTATGTTATTTATTATTTATTCTACTACTGATAGTTGTATAAAGGTAGTAAATCTAGATGGAAATTGTGGCAGAACTTAAATTAACAGTGACACTATCGCGATTTATCGAAAAAGACTCTAAAATAGTTGGTTGTGTAGCGTGCGGTAGATCTCGGCAAAAATTGAGTGAAATAATGGAACAACTTTTCGCTAGTAAGTGACTATATAATATATGTACGTGTAGTAAACCGATCATTTATGAAATTCACTTAAATTAACTAAATTATATATTTTTCTTGCATTTTAGCTTTTATTTATTACTTGTCAAAGATTAGATGTCAAAGAATTTAGATACGTTAATTTGACTTACCAGCTTCAGTAGCGTATCGGATGTTTGTGTTAATAAATACTTATTATAACTTATCTATTTTTATTAGAATTATATATTTTTATAACAATTTTAATAACTACCAACATTTATTCACAACGTAAAATTATTGAGTCTACCCCACGTCTACTTTACATCATAGTTTTACCTTTTTTAAATAAAATTAGAACGACACTGATAAACCGAAATTTAAGTCGGCCATATTTGGGGCCCATCGCGGTGTACCTAAGATTTTTGATATGCTCCTTCCTTAGTCTTCTTATTCAAAGATGGAAACGGTCGATTATTAGGTAAAATCCTTAAAATATAGGAGGTACCGCAAAAAGTTAAATACAAAAGTTATAGAATTTTTAAATATCTATTAGCGAGTAATAAATTTAAGTATACAAGGTCGTTCATAAAGTCGTGGCACATCAAAGTTTCATTTTTTTAAATAGAACCCCCTGTATATTATTACATATTTCAATCCTCCCTTCAATTCTAAGCAAAAATCGAAATACACACAATGTACCTCAAAGCAACCGTTTCTGAGTTATTGACTTTTGAAAATATCACTTAAACAATTAGATTTAATTAATTTCGATGTGTTTGGTTTGATTTAATGATGCCATTCTGTCGAAACTGTGATATTGTTGTAATGGGTTGTTAAATTCCTATTAGCTACTAGTAAATTTAAGTATACAGGGTCGGTCATAAAGTTGTGTCTCATCAAACTTTATTTTTTTAAATGAAACCACCTGTATATTATTGCATATTTCAATTCTTCCTTTTTCCAAATTTTAAAAAATAATCGTAATACACAGTGTGGGTCACGGGTGGTTCAAATTTGACGCTTTTAAATGGAAACACCCTTTTCTATAGGAGATAGACAAAAACTAATATCGATGTCTGGAGCTCAATTTTTGTCAAAAACATTTTTGTCCAAACCAAACCGCAAATCGATATCTGTTACCGTTTCGGAGTTTTATTTTCTCAAATATTTAATTGTATCATATTCCACATAAACGAATCGATTCAAATTCTTCAAAGCTAAATACTTGAATATTACATGTTTATTATTTTAGTTTTTGGATGCACTTTCAAGATGGTATTATAAAGCTTATATAAAATATATAACTTAATATCTTTTTCCAAATTTTTCCGAACCGTTTTACATTATTCTTGACAAATAACAAAGATTCAACATCGGATTCTACAAACTAATTTGTCAAATAATTTATCTGTTTTTAAAAAAACAGATAAATTATTTGACAAATTGCTATCAGAAATATTTTGTTTAGAATATTGTTTATTTTTATTTATTCTGTTTATTTTATTGTTTTTTATTTTTTTAACAATAATAAATTTATTTTTTTACTCTTTTATAGTTTCCGTTTTATCGTTTTTATATTTCCTCTTTTCGTAGTTTTTAGTTTCTTTAATCTGCTGTATTCCTTGTTATTATTTTCTTGTTTTGTTTTTAAGTTTTTGTTTCTTATCAAAATTGAGTTTTGGATATTTTTATTCTAGGGTCGATGGAACATCATATCAAAATATATATTTTAAAAATACTTATATGGTTAATTGTACAGGGTGGGTCAAATTCGACGCTTTTAAATGGAAACACCCTTTTCTATAGGAGATAGACGAAAACTAATATCGGTATCTGGAGCTCAATTTTCATCAAAAACATGATGGTGAAAACCGTACATCAATATCTGTTACCGTTTCGGAGTTACGGGGTGTTTTTCAAAAAGACGCATTTTTAACAAATCGCTGTAACTTTTTTGCTATGAAAAATTTTGTATTTTTATGAAAACATTTCCAAAGCACCTTTTTATGTAGAACTTAATGGTTTAAGTATAATTTTTTTAAAATTAACAATTTAAGAATTATCAACAGAAAATTTGATTTTTTATATGAGACACCCTGTATATTTTTAATTTATTAAAAAGAATTTAAAATTACCTTTCCAAAAATATAACACACTTGATATTTTGCTCGATTCCTCTTCGAGATATAGAGTATATAAAAATTTGCCCGCTTTAAATAAGTAGGCTTTGAACGGCACCGGCTGTAATGCAAAAAAATTCTAGCTGTGAGTATCAATTAAAACGAAAATAATATTTGCTATGAGAGATGCAGAATTTTATAACAATTTAAATATATTTAACCCACATCAACACATTGAAACTATATCTAATAACAATAAAAATAAATAGCAAACCAAGACATGAGATTTTGCTACAGGTGTTCGACATATCGACAGTCTTCTGTTATGGACAGACGTGGCAGTATTTGAAAATTTCTCGCAGAATTCATAAACTCAGTGGGGGTGAAAGATACCCTCTTATAACTGCTAAGTATTTTTAATTCTTGTCTAGATTATACGGAAGAATAAGGAACCTTTATTCTTCTGCAAATATATCCATAGGATTAGATCCATGGGCACTTAAGGCCTCGACGGCCAACGGCTGAGATCTTAGCTATCCAATTATTCTTGAAATTGGCTGCAAAAATTTGCTGATAACTTCAACGTTCAAAGGCGGTGCGCCGTTTTGCTGGAAAAATATGTTTTCCAGTTCCATTAAGGGAATATCATCAATAAGCCTACTAGTTAAAAGTGGCGAACTTTTAAAAATTCTGTATTTCGAAGGCGATTATAACGAAAAATATCAAGTGTGCTATATTTTTGGAAAGGTAATTTTAAATTCTTTTCAGTTAATTAAAAATATAAAGGGGGTCCAAAATAAAAAACAATTTTTTCTGTTGATAACTCTTAAATTATTAATTTTAAAAAAATTATACTTAAACCATTAAATTCTACGTAAAAAGGTGCTTTGGAAATGTTTTCATAGAAATACCTACAAAATTTTCCATAGCAAAAAAGTTCAGCGATTTGTTAAAAATGCACATTTTTGAAAAACACCCGTAACTCCGAAACGGTAACAGATATTGACGTGCGGTTTTCACCATCATGTTTTTGATGAAAATTGAGCTCCAGACACCGATATTAGTTTTCGTCTATCTCCTATAGAAAAGGGTGTTTCCATTTAAAAGCGTCGAATTTGACCCACCCTGTACATAAATTGAAGAATTGAAATGTTAAACTAAAATTTTGTAATTTCCAGACTTGCTATACTCTCATTTTATACATCTATAAATGCTAACTTTAGAACTAATGTCAAATATTATTAAGTATTAGAGTTTCGGCAAAATGGCATCGTTAAATGAAACTGAACATATCAAAATTAATTAAATCAAATTGTTTAAGTGATATTTTCAAAAGTCAATAACTCGAAGGTATGAGGTACATTGTGTGTATTTCGATTTGCATAGAATTGAAGGAAGAACCGAACTATGCAATAATATACAGGCACTTCCATTTAAAAAAATAAAACTTTGATGTGCTACAACTTTATGACCGACCCTGTACACTTAAATTTATTACCCGCTAATAGGTATTTATAAACCCTATAACTTTTATATTTAACTTTTTGCCATACGTCCTATATTTTACCTATTAATCGACCGTTCCCATACATAAAAGTGACCCTGTATAAGGTGTATTGATAAATATAATAATAAATGCAGGAACTTTCTTGAAGTTTGAAAGTAGGAAATTGTTCTTTTTTTTAGTATTTTGAAATTAAAATAACAGGCGCATCTATCATTGTCAAGGATTTTGTCCTTGGACTGACTACAAAACCCACTTGAATTTATTTTGCACAAAAAACAAATCTAATCTAATCTCAAAAACATTATAATTACATCAAATTAAGTATTAATTTCTACTATAAAATAATCACTACTCACCACTTATTCTTAGAATCGGTTATAGGTTTCGCACCACATATCACAGACCCCATTAGTAGTTCAGTACTTTTATTTCTCTCCAGCAAATCCTCAATTAACTTGGGCAAATTCAAGTACATATCTTGATCAATCTTCAGCAAGAACCTAGCAGTGCTCTGGCACTTCATAGTGAACAGTTTCAGCATCATTGCCGACTTGAGAGTCAAATTATTGTAGCTATCGTGAAACCGTTCCTGAATAATATCGTTGTGCTTTTGAGATTCATTCTCTAGCTGGATTTGAATGCTTGTATTACTTGTTTCGCCTATTAGGAAATATAGGGATATATCCTGACCCATTACAGTCTTTTCTTTACCCCATGTTTCTCTTATGACTGATCTAGAGCTGAAACCCGAAGGATCTGATATGCACATTATAACCAAGAATTTTGGACTATCACAGAACTTTTCTGGTAGTATTCTAGACGTTATCCGGTCTATATAAATGTAATCTTGTAGTTTACGGCTTACATTATACTCCCAGCCTGATATCTCCACTAAAAACACGTAAAAATATTAATTTAAAAAAAATAAAGGGTGATTTTTGTGTTACCTTCACCTGAGTCCAGGAACATGAAAAAGAACAAAACTATGAGCCCGAAAGGGCATATCATTAGGAAATGTCTTAGAGAACGTATCGTTGGGGGCCTCATTGATGCAGTTTCCTAAATTGGGGCTTTGGATTAATTCCCGGTGCATAACAGACATAACCTCGAAACGGAAATGTATTTTTTCTCGCTGATTCTCCTAATAGTTTTAGTTTATTATTGAAGATATTATCTTAAACTGTTCATCGTGTTAGTTAGAAAGCTATTAAAGTGTTACGAATTCCTAGTAATTGTTTAAAATTAATATTTTACTAATAAATGGATATGGCCATCCATAGATAACAGAGCTAGATTTGTCAACAAAAAAAATGTGACATTCAATCTGACATTTTCTATTAGTGATGGTCAAAATTATAAAATCGATTTTTTTGTCTACTAATTCACAGTGAAATTTACTAATTTTTTACCATGAAATAAAAACCCGTATCTAAAAAAATTGAGAAAGAATCTCTTGAGACTTATCTAATCTTTATACTCTCATTTAAACAAAATTATGATTCATCCATTCGTCAGGAAATATGTATTAAACAAGACAAAAAGATAATAAATAAGTAGTTATCAATGATTGTCAATGAGGTTGTTGATATTATTAATACAAATAAGGAAATATGTGATTAACTGATAAGAACGAATATTAATCATTGATTTATTTATGTTATTTTTATAGAGATAAGACAAAAATAACTTTTAATGATTTATAACAGTCTTAAGTATGCGTCATGTAGCCAGTAAAGTACCCGATGATATACCAATCATTACGAAGTCAAAATAATAAATAAATAAAGCATAAATAAAGTACAAATATTTTTCTAAATTTAATTTGAATAACAACCCTATGCAACCAAACATACTAAGGTCGGTATGTCTAGTTGCATAACTCTATATCGATTTTTCGCGCCTCCAAAGCTTTATTACGTGTAAATTCGAAAATTATAGCTCATAAAAATAACGGATAACGCTTTTAGACGCCTAGTCCTGATCTAAAAGCGTAAGAAACGATAAAAATTCTTTCGCAGTTCGTGGGCAATTAAAAATAATGCGATATTTGAGTAAGGAAAGATCATAAAACAGAACAATGAGAAAGAATAATCGTAGGAAAAGAAAAAGAATGCTTCGAGGGTGTAATAAAAAAACGAAAGAGGCTTGCGTTAGAGTTAATTACATTGTAGGGGGCGTTACAGGAGCAATTAAGCATGCCTAATTAAAAGTTTCTTTTTTTAATTGAACATTCTTTAGAAAGGAGAGGGGTAGAATGTCGGAAAGGGCGAAGAATAATGGGGTGGGGGAAGCTCTTGATTAATTTGAGAATTAAATGAAAAAAAACACGGTCGGTGGAGAAAGAATTATTTAATTCTCAGTGTTTTATTTGGTTGATAAAAATTAATTTTGACTGACTTAGTGATCAGCACAGAAATTATATTACAGACATATTCTATCCGAATATGTTTTAGTTTGAGCTGAATTGTTAATAGTTCTGAGGGAGAGCCAGGGAGAGCCAGCGCTAGTTCCGCTTATTTTGTCTAACAGCTGAAAAAACAGGACTAGTATTTGTACCGTTGAAAAAAAATATTTAAAAAATTCTAAAGGAATCAAAACTATACTTGTCGTATACAGAATTTTATATTCTATCATCATATCATATATATATTATATTCATGTCTTAGTTAGATATATATATCTTAGTTAGACATATTATATCATATTCATGTCTTAGTTCGAGCTGAATTGTGAATAGTTCTGAGGGAGAGCCAGGGAGAGACATCGGTAGTTCCGCTTATTTTGTCTTAAAGCTGAAAAAATAGGACCAGGATTTAAACCGTTGAAAAAAATATAAATAAAATTCTAAAGGCATCAAAATTACACTTGTCGTATGCAGAATTTTAGATTCTATCAGAATATGTCTTAGTTTGAGCTGAAATGTTAATAGTGTTGAGGGAGAGTCCGGGAGAGACAGCGGTTGTTCCGCTTATTTTGTCTTAAAGCTGAAAAAACAGGACTAGTATTTGTACAGTTGAAAAAATATTTAAAAAATTCTAAAGGAATCAGTACTATACTTGTCGTATGCAGAATTTTATATTCTATCAGAATATGTCTTAGTTTGAGCTGAAATGTTAATAATGTTGAGGGAGAGCCAGGGAGAGACAGCGGTAGTCCCGCATACCTATTTGTTTTAAAGCTGAAAAAAATAGGACTAGTATTTGTACAGTTGAAAAAAAAAATTAAAAAAATTCTAAAGGAATCAGAATTATACTTGTCGTATGCAGAATTTTATATTCTATCAGAATATGTCTTATTTTGAGCTGAAATGTCAATAGTGTTGAGGGAGAGCCCGGGAGAGGAAGCGGTAGTCCCGCTCAATTTGTCTTAAAGCTGAAAAAACAGGACTAGTATTTGAGCCGTTGAGAAAAATATTAATAAAATTCTAATGGAATCCAAACTATACTTGTCGTATGCAGAATTTTATATTCTATCAGAATATGTCTTAGTTTGAGCTGAAATATTAATAGTGTTGAGGGAGAGTCCGGGAGAGACAGCGGTTGTTCCGCTTATTTTGTCTTAAAGCTGAAAAAACAGGACTAGTATTTGTACAGTTGAAAAAATATTTAAAAAATTCTAAAGGAATCAGTACTATACTTGTCGTATGCAGAATTTTATATTCTATCAGAATATGTCTTAGTTTGAGCTGAAATGTTAATAATGTTGAGGGAGAGCCAGGGAGAGACAGCGGTAATCCCGCATATTTGTTTTAAAGCTGAAAAAAATAGGACTAGTATTTGTACAGTTGAAAAAAAAATTAAAAAAATTCTAAAGGAATCAGAATTATACTTGTCGTATGCAGAATTTTATATTCTATCAGAATATGTCTTATTTTGAGCTGAAATGTCAATAGTGTTGAGGGAGAGCCCGGGAGAGGAAGCGGTAGTCCCGCTCAATTTGTCTTAAAGCTGAAAAAACAGGACTAGTATTTGAACCGTTGAAAAAAATATTAATAAAATTATAAAGGAATCAGAACTACACTTCTCGTATGCAGAATTTTATATTCTATCAGAATATGTCTCAGTTTGAGCTGAACTGTCAATAGTGTTGAGGTAGAACTAGGGAGAGACAGCGGTTGTTCCGCTTATTTTGTCTTAAAGCTGAAAAAATAGGACCAGTATTTGAACCGTTGAAAAAAATATTAATAAAATTGTAATGGAATCTAAACTATACTTGTCGTATGCAGAATTTTATATTCTATCATAATATGTCTTAGTTTGAGCTGAAATGTCAAATGTGTTGAGGGAGAGCCAGGGAGAGACAGCGGTTGTTCCGCTTATTTTGTCTCAAAGCTGGAAAAACAGGACCAGTATTTGAACCGTTGAAAAAAATATTAATAAATTTCTAAAGAAATCAATCCTATACTTGTCGTATGCGGAATTTTATATTCTATCAGAATATGTCTTAGTTTGAGCTGAAATGTCAATAGTGTTGAGGGAGGGCCAGGGAGAGACAGCGGTTGTTCCGCTTATTTTGTCTCAAAGCTGAAAAAACAGGACCAGTATTTGAACCGTTGAAAAAAATATTAATATAATTCTAAAGAAATCAACACCATACTTGTCGAATGCGGAATTTTATATTCTATCAGAATATGTCTTAGTTTGAGCTGAAATGTCAATAGTGTTGAGGGAGGGCCAGGGAGAGACAGCGGTTGTTCCGCTTATTTTGTCTCAAAGCTGAAAAAACAGGACCAGTATTTGAACCGTTGAAAAAAATATTAATAAAATTCTAAAGAAATCAATACTATACTTGTCGTATGCGGAATTTTATATTCTATCATAATATGTCTTAGTTTGAGCTGAAATGTCAAATGTGTTGAGGGAGAGCCAGGGAGAGTCAGCGGTTGTTCCGCTTATTTTGTCTCAAAGCTGAAAAAACAGGACCAGTATTTGAACCGTTGAAAAAAATATTAATAAATTTCTAAAGAAATCAAGCCTATACTTGTCGTATGCGGAATTTTATATTCTATCATAATATGTCTTAGTTTGAGCTGAAATGTCAAATGTGTTGAGGGAGAGCCAGGGAGAGACAGCGGTTGTTCCGCTTATTTTGTCTCAAAGCTGAAAAAACAGGACCAGTATTTGAACCGTTGAAAAAAATATTAATAAATTTCTAAAGAAATCAAGCCTATACTTGTCGTATGCGGAATTTTATATTCTATCATAATATGTCTTAGTTTGAGCTGAAATGTCAAATGTGTTGAGGGAGAGCCAGGGAGAGACAGCGGTTGTTCCGCTTATTTTGTCTCAAAGCTGAAAAAACAGGACCAGTATTTGAACCGTTGAAAAAAATATTAATATAATTCTAAAGAAATGAAAACTATACTTGTCGTATGCGGAATTTTATATTCTATCAGAATATGTCTTAGTTTGAGCTGAAATGTCAATAGTGTTGAGGGAGGGCCAGGGAGAGACAGCGGTTGTTCCGCTTATTTTGTCTCAAAGCTGAAAAAACAGGACCAGTATTTGAACCGTTGAAAAAATATTAATATAATTCTAAAGAAATCAAATACTTGTCGTATGCGGAATTTTATATTCTATCATAATATGTCTTAGTTTGAGCTGAAATGTCAAATGTGTTGAGGGAGAGCCAGGGAGAGACAGCGGTTGTTCCGCTTATTTTGTCTCAAAGCTGAAAAAACAGGACCAGTATTTGAACCGTTGAAAAAAATATTAATATAATTCTAAAGAAATGAAAACTATACTTGTCGTATGCGGAATTTTATATTCTATCAGAATATGTCTTAGTTTGAGCTGAAATGTCAATAGTGTTGAGGGAGGGCCAGGGAGAGACAGCGGTTGTTCCGCTTATTTTGTCTCAAAGCTGAAAAAACAGGACCAGTATTTGAACCGTTGAAAAAAATATTAATAAAATTCTAAAGAAATCAAAACTATACTTGTCGTATGCGGAATTTTATATTCTATCATAATATGTCTTAGTTTGAGCTGAAATGTCAAATGTGTTGAGGGAGAGCCAGGGAGAGACAGCGGTTGTTCCGCTTATTTTGTCTCAAAGCTGAAAAAACAGGACCAGTATTTGAACCGTTGAAAAAAATATTAATAAATTTCTAAAGAAATCAAGCCTATACTTGTCGTATGCGGAATTTTATATTCTATCAGAATATGTCTTAGTTTGAGCTGAAATGTCAATAGTGTTGAGGGAGGGCCAGGGAGAGACAGCGGTTGTTCCGCTTATTTTGTCTCAAAGCTGAAAAAACAGGACCAGTATTTGAACCGTTGAAAAAAATATTAATATAATTCTAAAGAAATCAACACCATAGTTGTCGAATGCGGAATTTTATATTCTATCAGAA